AAATAATAAAAAAAATATCACATCTTTAAAAAAACCCTACTCAAAAGTTTTCTAAAGCGCGAGTTCATAGAATGCATTATTTTCAGATACCGTATCACATTGATTACAATTACTGGATAAATTTGTCCAATAAAATGAGATGTTTCAGAACCTCTAATGCATCGTAACTTCCAATTGCGAGTTCAATTGGCAATTTAAAGAAATTTCTAATCACAATTTTATCCAATAGTATGATTCAGCAATTGTAAGTTCATATTTAAGCAATTAAATAAAATATCATAGGTCTAATGACAATTAAGTCCAGTAAAAGGAATCACTACTTAGGAATTTTTATTTTCCTTCAGTTGTTTATTTTTTTCATCTCTAATATATTTTAATGTATTTGTTTAATTTTGATAGTTTTTGAATTTCATCCAGGTTATTATATTCTATCTTAAATATAATATAATTTATTATTTCGTTTTATTTAATTGTAATTGAATTTATTTGTTTAATTTTAGTTTATACTTTTTAATTTGATTTTTTGTTTATGCTTTTTTAAATTGTTTTTTTTTTTTATATTCATTTTGTTCGCATTTTTGTATCCTTTATTTTTTTATCGAAGTTATATTTAACTTTCGAAAGTCAATCTTTTTCAACACTAGAGTTTAACAGCTCGTACGCTATGGAACTTTTTTACTATCTAGTGCCCCCAGTTGTCTACTAAGTACTTGGTACCATTAACGGTTAGCCGAGCTGCGGACTGCTGTCAAGTCACACCGACAGGCACTAACACACACGCAGGGCAGGTCACACGCATTGCTCATATGTACACGTACAGTGTCCGTGTGAACTGAAAGCTTTTTTAGCACACAACATTTCCTTACGCATAGTGAGACGCTCGAATAGAGAGGCAGAGAGTGAGATAGAGATTGAGAGAGTGAGCGAGCTTTTGGGCTGCTGCTACTGCTGCTGGTGGCTGGTGGCTGCGTCAAAGATCGACGTCGACAGACACCAACAAGAGCATCAACCATGGTCGGCATTGGCATATAAAAGCTCGCAATGTCTGTGCAAAATTATTCAGTTAACAGTTGCGGGTTGGTTGAGACATACAAACCCCGGCAAAAGTTGAGTGCGGCTGTCTAGAAGTTAAAACAAAGTGCAAAATGAAATCCATGGTATGTTGTGTTCAAGCGTACTACAAAAAAAAATAAATCTAAAGCAAACCAATCAGCTAAAAGCGATTCAAGTTAAAAGTTCTTCAAGTGTCTTCATTATATCATCATAACTATATCTGACTATCATCTCGCTATGCAATGGACAATCGTGCCTCGAAAAACTATAATTTTGTCCATCAAGTGTACTTTAAAAAAATATAGAATTTGATGAGATCTATAGAGTTTTTATGAGCTGCATAAAATAATTTTATATAATTTAAAAAAAATGTTACAAATGTAAAAATTAAAATCCAAAAATTTATCTTTAAATGAGAAGCTTTTAGCATAACGAAAAGTAGGGAATTAAATTATGTAGAAAATTCTTGGATAGATCAAGGCAGTTAATATTTTTAAAACACATATTGAATTAGAATTTAGTGTGAAAAATCGTATTTTTGAATATAATAATATTTTAAATATTTTATTAAATATACTTTGAAAATAGGATATAGAACTAATGAAAATAAATTAGAAAATATTTAATTAAGCCAAGAGTCTCGGTTTAATTAATAATTGCTTTTGGTTCAAAACCTATAAAAAGAAACAATTTTTTTTTATAAAGAGCTCTCGACACCACAGCTAACATTTATTACTTTACTAGTTTAATTTGTAACAGTAGCCAAAAATATAGTTTAATAAGAAAAAACTCGCATGCTAGCGCATAACAAAAATTAAGTATACGCCACTTGGTAAGCACTGCGCAAGTTCTGTCGCATTACGTATGCGCCGCGTGGCCAATGAATGGAGCTACCATTGAACTTGGCGCGCAGCCAAACGCATTTAGTAAATTGCATAATTGTCATATTTGAAATAATTATGGAGTGGCGGCTGGCGGAAGTACCGCCAAGTTATATAATAGCATAAAAGTTGCAGCGATCGAGCGATCGAACGATTAACACGGCTAACCCACTTTGGTCACACTTTGCATTGCAGCTCGTTTTTGGCCTGTTGGCTATGTGCGTGTTGGCGGCCACCGCTAGCGAGGAGGCACCCAAGAAAGTTGAGGCCGCTGAGCCCGCCGCTGAGGCCAGTGCGACAGCTGAAAAGAAACAGGAGAAACGCGGTATTGGCTATTCCGGCTATGGCTATGGCGGTTCCAGCTATGGCGGCTCCAGCTATGGCGGCTCCAGCTATGGTGCCTCCGGTCTTGGCGGCGGTGCCATTCTGAGCACTGGCCATGGTGCCATTGGTGGACCCGTTGTCTCTCAGCTGCCCACACAGGTGCACACCAACACCGTGGTGAGAACCGTACAGGTGCCCTATCAGGTGGAGCGTCATGTGCCTTATCCCGTTGAGAAGACCGTCACCTATCCCGTCAAGGTGCCCGTGCCACAGCCCTACCCCGTGGAGAAGGTTGTCCAGTATCCCGTGAAGGAGATCGTTAAGGTACCCGTCCATGTGCCACAGCCCTACCCGGTTGAGAAGATCGTGAAGGTGCCAGTCAAGATCCCAGTCGATCGTCCCTACACCGTGCATGTGCCCAAGCCATACCCCGTGCCCGTTGAGAAGCCAGTGCCCTATACCGTTGAGAAGCGCGTCATCCAGAAGGTGCCCGTCCATGTGGACCGCCCAGTGCCCTATCAGGTGAAAGTGCCCGTCAATGTGCACGTTGAGAGCCATGTCCAGCCCGCCATCACTGTCACCCACACCGTCACCAAGACCGAGGGTGCACCCATTGTCAGCGGACCAATTGCTAGCGGTTACTCCGGCATCTCTGCTCACGGCGTCTCTGGACCCGCCATTGCTGTCGGCCATGGCATCTCGTCGTATGGCGGTCATGGCATCATTTCCGGTCACGGCATCTCTGGCCATGGCATCTCTGGCCACGGTGTCTCCTCGTACGGCACCTCCGGACACGGCGGTTACCTCCACAAAAAGTAGACCAATTTATCGCTAACGAGGGCCAAATCAGCTTATGAATTCGGGTAAAGGCGTACGCATCAACATCAATGTCGAATTTTCCAATATCCACATGAAAAACAAAACCCAACTGGAATTACCCCCAACCCGCAACCCTCAGAGTACGACTTACATTTAGTTTTAGTTTGTGATACCAACCGAAATTCTAGGAGGAAGCAACAATCGTTCAACGGGAAGATCATCAAATGTGACATTTCGATGAGTGGTTCCCAGGACGGAACACTCTGGAAACTTGCCAGCAACTGCACCCTTAAGAAAAACAAAAGTAACAAATCAAAGCCACATTCGTTTGTCCCGCTTGTCAATTGTGTCACCCGCCTCCTCTTATGTACAGTTCTTTCTAGACAGGAAAAACAAACAAACAACAACAACAAGAGAAAACACCTGAAACCAGTTGCATCTTCGACTTTTTCCCGTTAATTTCTATTCTATGAAATTTTTGTACATATTTAAATAATGTAAATAAAAAGAATTAAAAACAAAAGCTTTGCTTTTATTCTTAAAGAGATGAAATAAAATTGTCAAGTAGTATTTTTAGTGGGCTTATCAATAAAATCTGGCTTTGAATATCATAAATTTATTGGGGAATTCCATTATATAAATATAAATCTCCGTATATTGCAGCTTGCCCCAAAAATACAATTACAATCTTCTATACAATAGTCCACAGTTAATAATTAAACACTTTTTGGGGAAGGTTACCAAGACTCATGTAAGATTTAATTTGATCTAAACTGTGACTACGAAAAATTTTGCTTATGACACACATTATAATAGATCTATTAAGGTCTGATAATATTCAAAGTAATATTAATAGTCAAGTATTATAAAAAATTTCCTTCACATTTGTTTAGAAGAAATTCTAAATTTTAGGGATCCACAATGATTTTATAAAAAAATATTCTTATAAGTAGGTAGGAAAATCTGTTGCTAAACTGGATCGTCTAGAAAACCGCCAGAATATAGTCACATGACAAGCAATTATTGAAAAAAGATATACTTATATGAGTTCAAAACAACATTTTTCAATGTAGTCCTGGTATATAAACACTATTTGTAAATATTTTCTTTTTAATTTAGGCTTTCAATTTTGCGATTGTTTGTTATTGAAAAAATGAAATCAATTTTATATTAAGTCGCACAAATTTTATAGAAATAATGAACAAAAAATGCCCTTGTAGATATTCCCTTTTGTGAAGTTTATAAATGAAAATATTTTGGAATAATAAATATCGTTTCCTTATGCTATGTAATATTGTAGTATTGATTCTGATCGAGAATATATATATTTTCCTTATGGGTTCTCCTTCTATGCGGTACACATTTCATTACAAAATTATAACACTCCCCACAAGAGTATAAAAATAGTAAAGAAGACAATTTCTTATAAAGGTTGCTTGTCAAAAGCTCTTCAACGTAGTACACATTTATATAGTAAAATCAAAAGCTTCAATTGCGTTAAAAGCTTAAAAACAGAGACTTAAGTTTAAAGTTGAGAAAGCTTTTATTTTTGGTAACAACTGTACGCCAAAGCTTTAATGCAACCTAAGCTTAGTTTGTATTTGCCCGCATGATAGGTGTACAAAGTATGCTAGAAATTTTATATAAATTGAAGATATATAGCACATTTTCCAATCTTTGAGCCCAAAACTATGCAACCTATTCTAAGAGAAAATATGAAGTGTAGTATTTATTCTTCTTAGATAAAGGTAAAGATTCACGCCCGTTAATTAAGCTATGGCAAAACTGTCCCTTATTGAGCTAGATACAAATAGAAGAAAAGTGAGTGGAAAAGCAAAAATATGTGCCGGGCAAAGCCGAGCAATAAACGCTAATTTATCATTCTTGTGATGTATTAAAATTTATCATCTTCCGGGAAATAACAATATTCAGTTGTGTTCTAAGCGCGTTGCAGCAAAGTTCGTATCTTACAGAAACCAAATTTTAATGCCAGAATGTGGAAATTTGTGTTAATATCTGTGCTCAGCCTGCTGCCAAATGCGCTGCTTCAAGCTGAAGATTATGAAGACAATCAAACTGAGCTTCCATATACCACACAAATATACCAAACAAGTGACTCACATCTGTGCACAGAACATGAGGTAATCCTCTATACGCTAATGGAGCCAACACCGTTGCGGGAGTATGGTTTTTTTGCCGAACCCTTTAGGCGGGCGGGAATTCGGGGATCATTGCGTAGAGTGGTAAGTTCAAGAAAAAGCAACCAATAAGACTTATGGGCTAATGCTCTAACGTCATATCAAACAGACCAAGACCAGATTGGAGCTCCGTCAAGTTTGCTGTCCAGGCTATCTAAGAGCCTACGATAATAGCTGCCATCCAGTGTCGACAACAACGGAGATCTACACAGAGTTAAACGATGTCTCGACTCTGACTGTGCCTGTGCCCAGTACGGATAAAAGCTTACCGAGTGCCGCAGACAAGCAGTCGTATAAGCCTAAGCCCTGGCTTATGTACGGCACTGTGCTCATATTGATCTTGCTAGCCCTGGGAGTATGCATGTATAGCTTCTACTATATCAAGCAAAGGAAAGATAAGAGAAATGAAGACGGCAATGAAATTGAAGCGCGCTCAGCTCTGTTTTGCAACTAAGTCACAAATTATAAGTATATTTGCTCTAGAAATTCAATAAATTTGCTAAAAACCCTAAGTGATATAATCGACTCAATCCAAGAATACTAAAAAAAAATGTTATATAACTTTATCAGTTTTTGGCATTTAAATAGATATATTTTCTAAAAATCCGTCATATAAGAAATCGGGTAAAATTATAATCCCACCCTTCTGTATCTTGCATATATGCCTGTGGGTCAGTATATAAATATACTAAAGTATACTACACAAATATATTTATCGTCTTTTTGCTTAAAATTTGGTGATATGAAGAAGTTTATTTAATATATAATAAAAACAAAAACTGAGATCCGCTACAAGCTGAAAGTGTAACTAAATTTTAGTTGAGTTTTGTGCGCACTCAATTAATCATCGTGGTTGAAAAATGTGGAGCATTTTATTGCTGAGTTTACTCAGTCTTTATGTGCAGCTGGCGACCTCTGTCAAAGATCCACATTTGTGCATAAAAAATGTGGAAGTTTCTTACACTGTAACGGAACGTGCTTCCCTGGAGAGCTATGGCGAGTTTGCAAGTCTATTAAAGATGCTAAATGTGCCAGGCGAAATGCGCACCATTGTATGTTAATAATAGTAATATACATTCAATTTATTTATGCTATTTATGATTTAACCAATCAAATATGCAGCAAAAAACTAAATTGGAAGAACGTGAGGAATGCTGCGAAGGCTACGAACGCTCGGCTATTGAGGATTGCCAACCTGTGCCAACTGTGCTCCAGGATGAGCCGAGCTCAACTGTGTCTGTTATCGATAACAATCCGATTGTGCCTCTAGGCATATCGAATAGTTCTAAGGTCAGCTACCGCTGTTGCAAAATTGAGCTAATCTTTATGTGTGCAATTGTACTTATCTTAACGCGTTTGTAAAGGGAAATGTCGTATATATAAATATAAATATTGTTATCATCTACATTTGCATGAATACAATCAAAGTATGACTCATTTCTGTTTGGTTTTAAGTAAATACTTTCAGAAATTATTTTTGCGTGGCCTGAACAACACAAAAAACATAATACAATTTCTACAATCATCTTATGGGCACACTAGATCGTAGGTCCAAGTGCCTGCGCGTTCGTATATAAACATTCTTTATCAAGTGTCTTATCAGGCATTATTCCCTGCCCTAAACAAGCCTTCGAAGAGACTCTTAATGTGATGCTCGCAAATAATATTTTCTTATACTTTTCTTAGAATACCCTGTAGCAAGAACTTAAGTGGGAAAAATATATATTTAAGTTACAGCCGATGAGCTGAATTTCTCGGAACATAAAAGTTCAATTTGTTGAACTGGACATTGCGATAAGGTTAGTTGTATATAAAAGCATTATCAGAAGAGTGTCCGTAATTAATGATAGATTGTGCTGTGGGGCCTTTAAGTAGATTCGATTCAGCAACACAATCTTACTTGTGTTTTAAAATTACGGCTAGACGGTTGACAAATTTTTTGCTATTTTCGAAAGCCTCTCACCATGGATAGTACTCGGGGTGCAATTTTTTTTATTTGTTTAATTGCTGCGACTGGCTGTACGCCGGCCATGCAGAAGAACAACAAGAATCCGTATAATAATACGTGTTTGAAGAAAAATTTCGAAAGGGACAGTGACATGGAAAATATAAGTGAGCTAGTGGTAAGTTGAATTAAAACATTCCTTTTATACCCTGTACCCATTTGAAATTCATATATAACAGCAGTAATGCATCTGTAATAAGATTCAGTTTATCATTTTGTTGATTACCCTCCTGATCTCTCCTAAAATGATAAGTCCAGTCCCGGGTTTTTGAGCATATTCCTGACCTTATAAGAAAGGTGCTGCTTACAAAAAAATTCAAGGTGTGCAATTTAAAATTAATCAGATTATACAGATATACGTTATTGGCGAATTAATAGCCGAGAGTGTGGAACCCAGGTAAGAGGAAATAGACCAAACTGCAGCTTGGTACAGGGTGTTTTTTAGTCGGTCGCTTTCGACTAGAGAATTCATACTTTATACAACACCTCCTCTACACAGTCTGAGTATGAATGCTGTCCCGGATATGTTGGAGCGATTGACGATTGCAAGCCCGTTTGCTCTGTGGAATGTGATAGCAATAAGTACTGCTCTGCTCCAGAACACTGTGAATGCGTAGAGGGCTTTAAAATGGTCTTAAATGGAGACTGTCATCCGGCGTGTACAGAAGGCTACGAAATGCAGCCAACTGGTGAATGTGTGTCTAGGGCAGAAACCAAGGAAATCGAAGTGAAACCCAGTGAGGATTGCTATGTGGAAGATCCCTGCTTGCCTAAGGATCCGAATTTATGCACAAGGGAAGTGCCAGTCACTGGCGAACAGCAACCGGGGTACTATACATTAAAGGAAGAGTTTGAGAAATTAAATATTCCATTTCCCAATATTCTGTTTGTAAGTAAGCAAATTATTTCTGCATTGACATCGATTACCCTATATCCTATATGAAAAGACCAGAATTGAAAGATATTGCTGCGACGGCTACGGAAAGCAAACCGACGATGAGCTCTGCCAACCCGTGTGCCAACCCAACTGTGGTGCAAATGCCTACTGCAAGGCACCAAACAAATGTGCGTGCCAGGAAAACTACCATATGGGAGTAGAAGGACAGTGTGTGGAGAATTTTAAAGCCGTTGATCCGCATGTGTGCAGCAAAAATGTGGTAAAATGTTAACTACTTTAAACGTTTCCGTCAACTATATAAACTATATATGCCCTACAGAGCACAACTGAGGTAAAAATCTACTGCTGTGATGGCTATGAACAAAATGCGCTTGGCGCACTCTGCCTGCCCAAATGCAGCCAAGGATGTGGCCGTAACTGCCGTTGTGTGCAACCTGAGGTGTGCGAATGTGAAGAGGCTGACGCCCACTGTCTGTGTAAGCCAGGCTATGCCAAGGGCAAATCCGGACACTGTGAACCACTCTGTGCAGCGGGTTGTCCCGTGCACAGCAGTTGCCTTTCGTACGGACTATGTCAGTGCCTAGAGGGCTACACAAACAGCACCGGCAGCTGCCAGCCCAATTGCCTGGCCATGCCAGAAAACAGTAAGTGCGTACGTCCAGGCGAATGGGAATGCGATTTGGGCTACATCAAGCTACCCGACGCCAATGGGCAGAGCTACACCTGTCAGCCGCATTGTAGGCAGAGCTGCTCCACCTATGGCAAGTGTGTGGAACCCAATGTGTGCGAGTGCCTGCCTGGCTTTAAGGCCATTCTGCTTGGCCAGGACCCAGAGACCAAACAATTCGTTGAGGAATGCCGACCAGTTGAATTGACCGACTCTCTTCCATATCCATATGAGCGATACACAACTGAAGCTTCAAATGACCAAATACTGCCACATAAAACTGAAAAGATCTCATTTCGAACCCTATAGGCTCCACTTGCTGGAAGACTAAACACATACTAGAATAAATTTGTATCACCTAATTAGCTCTTTTGCATTTTGTATACCGCATTTAATAACAGAAACATTTTGATTGGCCAATTTCAATTTTTATAATAAAATAAATCTTTCATATCCTGTATTGTTTCTTCAAACAATTAAATGAAATATTTATACAATTGTGCATATACATCCTAAATCTTGTTCAACAAAATTTTAAACGGCCTTTCTGACCTATTTCAGTTTACATTTATTTTGTTTTTTTTTTTTTTTCTAAATTTATTAGATTTCAAACTTTGCAAACTTAATACAACGTTTAGGCAATTTTATAGTAGAGAAAACCTATAAAAAAAAATCCACAAACTTGCCGGCAACTAATGCTAATCAATAAATAACAAGTAAGAGGTTCCAGTCGGGAGCTCCCGACTAGGGGATACCCTGAACCCTCTTCTTCCAACCACAAATGCATATATATATTCTATTTTAGAAGCTGTGTCAAGTTTGGTGACTCTAGCTCTTATTATTTACCAAAATTGCCCAGCAAACAGGATATTGTAAACGGAGTAAGTTATCGATTATCGGAAACAAACTCGATCTGCGCAGGCACTAGGAGCACCTACATCTAAAATTTCTCTAGCTCTTATAGGTTCTGAGATCCTTGCGGACGGACGGACAGACAGACGGACATGGCTAGATCGACTCGACTATTGATGCTGATCAAGAATATATATAATTTATGGGGTCGGAGATGCTTCCTTCTGCCTGTTACATACATTTGGATTTTGCACAAATACAATATACCCTTATACCAATTTTTAGTGGGTTCAGGGTATAAAAAGCCGAGAGCAAAAGAAAATTGGACTGCCTTCTTATACACACACACATTTACACACATTCACTCACGCTCATACACACACTCACATTTACACACTCACATTAACTTTTGCACATAATCTGGAATACTTAAGAGCAACTTTGCCCGAGTGGCGGGCAAAATCAACAAGCGAAAAGCGTACAAATTATGCAAGACTTAATGCAGTTGAGAGCATTGAAAGTAAGCGCAAAATAAGCCAAGAGATCAACGCCCAAATGTAGCATAATTAATTGGAATGACAAATGGTGTCGGACAAGAAAACAACAAAAATTTCAAGTTCGTTGCCTTAGTCTTTAGTTTTTTTTTCGTGGGCAGCCGCAAGAACCTGTTGGCAGTTGACCAACGCACAACATTGATCTTGTACTAGCTAACGCGAATTGAACCCAGTATGTGTGATTGTGAATGCGTGTGTATGTGTGGCATGCGGCAAACGGAGAATGGCACGACCCAAAAACAAAAGCACAAAATAGCCAGAGCCAAAGCAAAGTGAATGCAGCAAATGCGACGCGCAGCCGCAATCAATTAGCGCTATGCGATGACGTCGACGTCGACGCCGACATCGGCTGCTTTGCAGGCAGGCTGCCACATGTGGCGGTTGCGTCATGGCGCCAAGCAGACCGTCTAGCGGTAATTGACTTGCAATTTCTTTTGCAGCAACATTTCGGTTGCAAAGAAATTTACCAAATATGTTGCAATAGTTGCCAAGCCGCCAAAGCAATGCGCCAGACTGAGACAGCCTGAAGCCAGCTGTAATTTATTAGCATTTATCATACGAGTATTTCTTACGGACAGTTAAATATATATTTTTGGAGAGTACAAAAAATATATGGTATACAAATGAAGTTGATTTAAGGACTAATTGAGATAAGAAGAAATACATGAATCCAATTAAAGTGACGTTCAATAAAAGTTATTTTAATATCGGAATAAATAAAAATGAATGTTAAATAAAAATGACAGCAACTCTGCCAAACTATTAGACTTTGGCCTGTGGTATTTAATAATACAAAAATTAATAATTTTACTATCAATTAAAATAAATTAATTAAAAGTATGTTTAATGTAATTAAATAAATTTATAGATTTGAGTTTGCACAACAAAACAAGACAACTTGGCATATAAAGCAACAGATCTCCTTGCCTTTTTACACTCTTATAGAGGAGATCTGTGTAAGACATGTCCGCCGCATAAACTGTATATTTTAGATCAGCATCAACAGCCAATTTGATAAGGGCAAGTGTGTTTCTAGGCGAATCTTTTCAATATTTTTTGCCGGATCGGACAGTACATTCTGGTATTATACAATTTAAGATAACTCGACCAAACTCGGAATCATCATATACATGCAACCAATATATCATTTAGCTGTCATAGGAATGTTCGGTCGCAAAGTGGACTCTTGTATGAAAAAATATACTAATTTCCAAAATTAATTTTGTTCTTAATCAATCCATAATTGTTTTGTATTTTTTGCAATATGAATATGTACAAGATATTCTCAAAATGTGGTATATATTTTAACTACTAATTTCTTGCTCTCTTTTTCGTTCAATCTACTTATTTTGCTGCATTGCCACTTCATTGATTTTAATTGTAGACTTTTGTTGGTAATATTTCTTTTTAATTCGGCCCGTTGGCCTGTTTTGCTATCGTATATGTTCAGCTTACTGCCAATTTTAAATGTATTTTTAATGTTTTACAATTTTCCTTTTCTTTTTTGGCGGATTTGCAATTGCTTAACCTGCGGCAAGGAAGTGTATAGTGTTTTTGAGTTTTCAGGTTTTTGCTGGCATGGGTTTTCTTTTGGTAGACATAGGAAAAGACATACATTTAATAGACGTCAATGGACGTATAATTAGTTAGTTTTATTTATGAGCAAACGCTTTGTAAATAATGAGACAATTAACACACATTCTGAGTTATTTGGCAATTTTCTTTAGTTTTCCATGTCTTCTATTCAAAATCGTTAGCTGCCAACTGAAAATAATTTATTTGTTGCAGTTGCTTAGGCAATCGCTTAATTATTTTATGTTTTATTTGTGCCTTTGTTAATTTACGAACAATTTAGTGCTGCCTAATTACAGTTCGCTCTATATTATTTTTTTTTCTAACGAAGGCAGTTCGAAAAGTTGTTCGGTTAGATGAGGTCTTTAAAAAATTCGAAGATATATTTGGTTTAATATATAAATATTTATTAAATAAATTTTAAATATTTATTTTAAATATAAAGTGAAAAAATTTATTAGAAGTGGCTTTCGCGTCAACGAACAGGGAAGTTAAGACTGGTAAAATATGTTATGAAAAAAATATTAATATAGTTTCCTAGAGTGAAGAAAAGGCAATTACATTTAAAGAAACATACTCGTATAATCGCTTATTTATATTTATATTTTTCTTTTTTAATTAAATTATTCTATATTCAATTCTATAAAGTGTCCAGAGAAAAATGGAAAGAAATCGATATTACTTTTTAGAAAAGGTATTTAGGTTTTACATATTATATACATTTTTTTTTTGTTTTTTGTTGCCGTTCAGCCATCTGTTTTCCAGTATGGAAAAATTCCTTTTACTTTTCAACTGCCTCTCGCTTCTACAAGCCCAAAAAACAACTTCATTTACGCCTCAGTGCGGCCAAAACCGGCAGCCAAAAATATAAAGAAAAAGCAGACAAAAAATGAAACAATTCCGAAAACAAAGGCTACCAACTAGATTTACAAAATGTACAGCCAGATGCGACTACATAGCATAATGTTTATTCAATTTACGCAATTTACACTGCGAGAAACAACAACAAAAACAATACTTGGCATTTGATTGCCAACTGTGTTGTTTTTTTTTTTTTTTTTTTTGTAATTATGAGTCCAAAAATGAAAACCCACCGTAAAAAATGGACTAAATTTAAAAAACCAAATGAGAAATAAACCTAGGTTCATATTTAATAATATTTCGCATCAACAAATGAACAAAACGTAAACATAACGAAATTAGGACAGTCGCAATCTGTGTAATCTAAAATAAATTTATCTTCTAGTTTTTATGCAAATTGCATGGCGAGTAAGTCAATGGGTCAAGACACGCCCACTCGCGGCAACCCGGAAAGCTGCAGTCCCCCCATCTATGGTCCAAACTGCCGCACAGCTGCTGGAAGGCTCCAGCTCCAGAGGCGGAATTACTTATTATGTTGATAAATTGTTTTTTGACTGGTTTTTCTGGCTCTCAATTTTTTTCATTTTTTGGTTTGTGCAAAAATTTGCATAGATTTGCAGTTGGGTTTGCGGCAGTCTGTGGGATTTGGCCAACGACCGATTGGACACTTCCTTATTTATCAGCTGCCAGCTGAAGAGATCAATTGGCCAAACCGCAACTTGATTAAATGCAAAAACCTAACCCACTTGGCTGGCTCATTCGGGCGCAGCATTCAACGACGCGTGACAATTTGTCCAAGTTAACAACAAAATAATCGCACAATGGCCAAAGCAGATGGTCATAAACAAATTTATGCTTTTAAAGACGCGCTCTATGAGTTCAAATGCTTTTGCCATTGACCTCATTATGCTGCCTACATGCAGAGAGAGACAGAGAGAGAGAGGGAAGGGGAGAGAGTATGCACGATTCAATTGCCATGATTATCACTTTCAAATCAAATCAACGAACGGGCTTTTACATACGTCAATGTCATGTAAAGGCAGCCGATTGAAAGGGCTGCGATTGCATTTAACAGTTTACTTGGTTCACCTGGCTCAAGTCGATTTGTCTTACAGGTTTTTCTTGGCTCGTTAACTTTGAGGCTTAAGCTGGATAAGCTGGATTAAAGCACTTAATTGGTTTTCGAATCAAGTAATTTCGAAAACGTAAAATTAAAGACGAAAACAACTTGTGAAAACTGAACTAAAACTGAACTACTTGTAGAAAATCAAAATATATTTCTAAAAGTATAATAAACTTATATCGCTGATATTTTTATTTATCATCCATACACTATCATTTTCATAGGTTGAGTTCTATTTGATGATAAAATATATAAGCATAATTAGTTTTTAATTTCCTTGACAATCGCATATTGAACTTTGAAGTTTGAATGATAGCCTAATCAGAAACTAAAATTGTATTACTCAAGTATATTATTAAATTCCTTTTAAGTTTTAATATACAATTTATATAGCAACAAAGATATTTCAAGCTCCAATAATCTCTGAGACTTTATATTTGTAGATAGTTTGCATCAGTTTCTTGGTGAGCTTTTCATTGAAATTAACTATAATATATGCTATAAATAAATCCGAATATTAAACACATTTAATTGGAATAAGATGAAGTCAGTTTTATTTTCATGTCTCAGGCATCTAAGGGTTTCCAAGTTTCTGAGGCGTATGCGAAAAACAGGAAAATTCGAAGCATTTTACACAAAAAGTTCAAAGACTTTGCTGTGCACCTGTTACTTTCAATGCATTTTGTAATTATGGAGCATGTGTAAGAGTATTTGTTTTGTTTGTTTTATTTTTCCAGTTACTTGCAAAAAGCCAGCTTAAAATATACCAAGTACAGCTGACAATTACTTGAGCAATTTGTCAGTCGGTTAGCTTTGCTAACAACCGCAACTGCGCGCAAACAACCTTGACCAGAAACGCAATGAACCCTTGAGTGGCCGCCCATTAAAATGAGAAAGAAACCCGAAAACATGGGAACTACCGAAACCAAAACCGTTACCAGCCCAGGTGAACAGAGAAGTAAATAAAAAAAGAAAAGACTTTTGTAAATGTCACAGAAAATGTCATAACTGTCAGCTTCGACTGGGCTTAGCCTCGTGCAGTGCCATTTTGTGGGATGAGCTGCCAACAATTGGAACGAAATGGAAATGGAATGTCAAATAACATGCCAAATCACGTTCAACGTATTTCAAACACAATCAATTGTTACACAAATCAACGAAACAGACGAATATGCAAATACAATTTGAAGATGCCGAAAATATTCAAAGCAAAAACATGATTAATCAACAGCTGCCTCCGATTTAACGCCTTTGTTGACAATGCGTTATAAAAAAACCAATCGAATCTATACAAAAAACTTAATAATAATTTATGTAAAGCTATATTTAACCATACAGAGAAATATGTTAACATATATATATAAGACAAGGTCAGGTCGCGTGACGCTTTCAAATATGTGAGGGACTCAAAAGCTATATGCGATGCATGGAAATCAAATAATATATAGTCATAATACAGCTTGTAATTAATTCAAGGAAGTATGTGTAATTGTGCTGTTGGATTTAAGACAATGGCGCTTATAAGCACTCGCAGCTGTCTATCAAAAAGCAAACAAACAAACAAACACTTGGCGCCCCCTTTGCAAACTTATGACATAAGCAGCTGTGGCATGTCCAACGGCAGCCTCCAATCGCACACGCTATCTCTTTCACACTCACTCTCACTCTCACATTCGCTCTCTCTTTCTTTGCGACTCGTTGCAAGCATATCGAACAACAATATGTGGTCAAGACATGCAAGCAATGCGAATGAAACTAAATCGAAAGTTGCATGCAACATACAACAACCACATTCAACACAAAGTAAGAGTGCTAAATTACAGACTGCACGACTTAGAAATACCCTAAAAGCAACTTAGAATCAACTTGAAAAATGTACTCTTAAATGACTCGTGTGTAAATTATGCGATCTGAATATAATTACCAGGACATAAGTATGCCACTCAAATGTGTGGTGATTTATGAAAAGTGATTACAGAAATCTTTATTATTTACAAAATATTTCCCATCGATATTTCTAAACAACCATACCCTCAAACCAAAAATACATACATTTAGTTCTATCAATATTGTATTTGATTAAAGTCCATAAATCGATATCTATCGACTTTTAGTAAAATGGGCGAAATGGGCGTAAAATCAAGCGAAGTAACCGACAAACTGTCATTTATGATTATTAAGAACCAATACCTCTAGATTTATGCTCTTCAAATACATATATCCTTTACTTTTAATTTCCCCCTTTCCAATAAATATACAGGGTATCCATAGCAAAGCCGCTCGTAACAGCTGTGCCAGTCTCGCAGTCGCGCCGTCTCTCAGTCTTGTCTCATATCGTATGTGAGACCCATTGACATAATAACGAGGAAGGTAACCAAAGTAAGACTTTAACTCCGTCTGCGACATCCAACTGGGGCGTCAATTACAGCGACCCACAATGTGGAATTGAAACGAGTTGCCGCTGCCCCAAACATGTTGCCAGTGGGTTAGGTTATGGTTGCTGACCGCACACACATATATCCGGGCGTATGTGGCACAATGACACAACAAAACACAGCCGAATGACCGAGTGACATACTGTCTCCCTCTCTCTCTCTCTGTCTGTTGACAAGTGTTTCCCCCTTTTTTGGCCAGCTGGCGCTAAGCTTACTTTATTTTTTGCGTACGACTTTGGTCTGGTCAAGTGAATGTACCTGTAAATGCGAAAGTAAAAGGACTGCAATTGGCAACAAAATAGCAATTGGATGTGGTTGTTTTGGCCAAATGACAGATGCCAAGCTGCATTCGCGTTGCATCAAGAGCCCAGGCAGAGCCCAAGGCGAAATGGAAATAAAGTGTTTTAAGAGAAGCGATTAATCAGATTTAAAGGCGAATTAAAGATCGATGATATAGTAAATTATTTAAGACTTGACACTTTATGCATTAATAAATGTGTTGAGATAAATTAGTCGGCATACATATTCTATGTATGTAAATAGATAGGATCTTCGATTTACTATTTTATTATTTTATTTTATTATTTAATATTTTTCTAAGCAAAAAATTAAATATTTCGGCATCTATATATCTCTATCTGTATCTCTATCCTCTCTCGCTCGCTCTCTCTCTCTCTCTCTCTCTCTCGTTCTCTCTCTCTCTCTCTCTCTCTCTATCTCTCGCTCTTTCTCTCTCTCTCTCTCTCTCTCTCTCGCTCTCGCTGTCGATCTCGATCTTTCTCTCTCTCTCTCTTTCTCTTTAAAACTAAGTAGGATATTCTAATCCCTTTTCAATTTACGTATATATTTATATTGTGCATTTCTAAAAATGCGACATTTTATGCACCTTTTTATTTGTATATTTAATATTTATATCACCAATAATGTTAAATGAATTACTCACATATAAAACGTACATAAATTAGAATAAATTATTAAATAAGATGAAAAATAATAAAATCAATAATAAAGATAAAAAAGTTTTCATGTGGAGCAGAATATAATATAACAAAATATGCTTATTTTTGTTGATCATATATCATATACCATAGAGCATTATTTTAAAAAAATACATCAAATATCTCTTGTTTAAAATCAAGATCATTATATAAATGAAATTAAGACCAAAAAAAAAAATGGCACTTAAAATAAAAGTTTGTAGACAAAATAATCTTTAAGTGAGAAGCACACAAATAATCTAAAACAAGAAAGAGAGAACCCCCTTCTTCCAACACCAAATGCAAATATATATACAATTCTAGAAGCTATATGTCAAGGTTGGTTACTCTAGCTCTTATTATTTACAAAAATTTACCAAAAAACAGGATTTGGATATAGATTTTTATCGGAACTTACTTGGAAACGGGGCAAGTTATCGTTTATCGGAACTAACTCGATCTGCGCAGGCACTAGGAGGACCTACATCTAAAATCTCTAGCTATTATAGGCTCTGAGATCCTTGCGGTCGAACATACGAACGGACGGACAGACGGTCAGATGGACATGGCTAGATCGACTCGACTATTGATGCTGATCAAAAATATATATACTTTATGGGGTCGAAGATGCTTCCTTCTGTCGGTTTCATGCATTTGCATTTTGCACAAATACAATATACCCTTTTTACCCATTTTTAATGGGTTCGGTGTATAAAAATATTAGAAAGAACAATAACAATACAAAATATATTTGATATTTATAAAATAAAACTCAAATTCAAATTAAATATTTGAATATTTAAAGCATCAAAATCAAATTAGTTAAATCTTAAGCAATTATTAAAACTGAATTGGACGAAGTTGCAGCTTGAAGGCGACACAACTGGCGTATTTTGGAAATTATTCAATTACACACACAAAATATGTGGTTTATTATTGTTGGTTGTGTGGTGCTTGTAAAAAGACTTGAGAAACCACCACAAAAATAGCAGCAGCAACAACAACAACACACGGCAAATGTCGGTAGTTGGTATTAGGCCGCAAAATGGCACGCATCCATAGAGCTGCCTAACTGCCATAGCTCCTCCACCCGCTCTGTCGACGGAGGCACCTCTTGCGCATAGTCTCTGATTGCAATTGCTGCATTTTGGCTTCACTTGCCACTTGGCTGCGCGTCGAGTTCGCGCCTCCGAAAAAAAAGAAAGAAAAAAATCAAACAAGCGGCAACCAGCTAAAACCGACGACGCGACTGGCCACGAACCATTCACCATTCGCTGCATGTGTTTTGGGCGATTGCGATTATGATTATACTATAGTATAATATAGTATTATTGTTGTTGCTGTGTCTGTTGCTGTTGCTGTGTTGTTGTAATACTTCGGGTTCGCAGTCGCAGTCGCCGTCGTCGTTTCATTCATTCGCTTGGCTTTTTGGGTGTTAGTTAGAGTATAAAAGTTCGGGCTGGCGCTGCAGTTGGCATCATTAAACCGTTTACCATCGAACAGTGTAGTGTGGTACGGAACGTGTGTAGAGTTTGTAGAGTACGAGTGATCGATTCCCTCCTCAAAAGAGAAAAAGATATACTCAAATCTCAATACGAATCGATTGTGCGGCATTAACGGTACACAGCTCGACGGATAACTCGCAATCCCACAAGGATATTTTACGCCAGCAACATGAAGTTGATGGTATGTATCCAGGATCAACAAGTGCAGTGTTGTGAAGTGCGCCAAAGAATACATAAGATCAACAAAGATTTACAAAAGTGCAAGATGCTTAAAGAAATAAATACGCTCACAGCAAATATCACACTTTCGAGACTTCTAAACTGAAAACGAAATACTTAATTCAGAAACCTTTATAAATACGAAAAATGCAAGACACAAATACAGTACTCCATCTGAGAAATGTACTTTGTTTACATGAGCTTGTTTCAAGAATAGAGTAATCATTTTTAATTTAATCCCAGAATTATTTTCTTATTTTCGTTCAATTTTCTAATATGGAATGATAACTAAAAACTATTCAAAAACAATTAATTGAGCTTTTAATCGAGCTTAAGGCGTCTTTAATTCTAATCAAGCTCCTTTAGTATAGTATTTTCATATTATAGTATTTCATATTATCCAAAACATTGCTTCACATTTTTAGCGTACAGCGACAACGCTCGCTCTGGTGCTGCTGCTGGCCACCAGCTATGCCCAGGCTGGCGAGGAGAAGAACGAGGCTGCTGAGAAGACAGCAGCTGAGCCAACGGAGTCAAAGGCCGAGGAGACGGCCGCTGATGATGATACCGCAAAACCGAAGCGTGGTCTGCACCACTACGAGGATTATCATCATCATCATGTGCCACATTTCCCAGTGCATGAGGAGAAAACACTGACGGTCATCAAGAAGGTGCCAGTGCCAGTGCCAATCGAAAAGATTGTCCATGTACCCGTGGAAAAACATGTGCATGTGCCCGTGAAAGTCAAGGTGCCTAAGCCATATCCCGTGGTCAAGCATGTGCCCTATGAGGTTAAGGAGATTGTCAAGGTGCCCTATGAAGTGCCAGCGCCATATCCCGTCGAAAAGAAGATACCATATGCCGTACATGTGCCCTATGATCGCCCCGTGCCCGTCAAGGTATAGCAGGCAACAGCTGCTCAGGATTTACATAGTCCATTTTAACACACTTTCAATCCTCTAGGTACATGTGCCCGCACCCTATCCGGTTGAAAAGAAGGTCCATGTGCCAGTCAAAGTACATGTGCCAGCACCCTATCCAGTCGAGAAAATCGTGCACTACAATGTAGAGAAGAAGGTGCATGTCGACAAGCCCTATCCGGTCGAAAAGATTGTCCACTACCCAGTCAAGGTGCCCGTCGATAAGCCAGTGCCCTACCATGTGGACAAGCCAGTGCCCCACTATGTGGACAAACCTGTGCCAGTGCCCGTCATCAAAAAAGTCCCTGTGCCCGTGCATGTGCCCTATGATCGTCCCGTGCCCGTGCATGTCGAGAAACCAGTGCCCTATGAGGTGAAAGTACATGTGCCACAGCCCTACCCAGTGATCAAGGAAGTGCCCTATAAGGTTGAGAAACACGTTCCGTACCCCGTCAAGATTCCGGTGGAGAAGCCCGTGCATGTGCACATTGAGAAGCATGTGCCCGAGGTTCATGAGAAGCACATTACCTACAAGGAGCCAGAGTTTGTGCACAAGCACATTGAGGAGGACCACCATTATCATCATCAGGAACAACATCATGAACCCATCCATCATCATTCATCGTATTCGGCACCTATTGAGGAGCATCATGAGCATGAGCATGAGGTGGAGCATGATTTTAATGACTATCATGATTATCATTCATATCACGGTTACTAAAATTGGTGAAATGAACTTTTTCTCTCTCTCTCTCTCTTTCTTTCACTTTTTCTTTGCAGCATTGAAAAATCGGTTATGAACGGCAACGGTTATGAATGGATATATAGCTAAACTGAAAAAAAAAAAACAAAACAAAAACAAAGTATAACTACTTTTAACATCACAAAAACCATAGAAAACTTTTAAAAACCTTCCATATTTTCCATATCATACCCAAATGCCCAACATTCCAATTACACTTTGCTATATAGAACGTGATAACGATAGAGATTCTGATAACAATTTTATAATGTGACCAAAATGTGACACGAACGAACTTACTTAGTTTTTACGACGAACTCTCTTTTAGCTTAAGCCATACAAAAAAAAAAAAATCAATACAAAAAAAAAAAGCAACAAAACAAGAAAAGAAACGTTGACGAAAATATCCCGTGAGAATTGTTATGAGAAATTTTGAAGACGATTAGATCTAGACTTTAAGAACAAAATACTAACACATTTGGGCCGCACAGCCCACAGAACAACAAGATCAAGAACAAGACCCATAACAACAACAAAGACAAGAACAACACACACAACATATGACACCTCAGCAGGATCAAATTTGGATGTGTTGTTGGACTTGGCTCGCTAAACACTGGGTACATTTGACGTGTGGTTGCTGCTGCTGTATTGTCCTCCAGCTGCGGCTTCTCCTCCTTCTGCTCTGGTCCACCGATTTGTGCACCCGGTTCGGTTCGGTTCGATATGATTTGAGATCTGATTTGTGTGTGTGATAAGACTTCTGTTTTAGTGTTTAAGTGTTTACTCTACATATATATATATTAATATAAATACATATAGATAAGGGAGGCAGCCGTGCAGTCGCCTATTTAAGTCAGTTTGTAAACGAACGTATTGTATTATTTGTAATATTTTTTGCTATCTAGTTTTTAATACAACCAACTATCTATAGTTTTGCTTAATGTAAAAAGCTGTTGAAACGGATTTATGAAAAGTACTTAGTTTACCAAATATTTTTTTGTCTCTGTAACATCAACAACAACAACAAAACACTCTGATAATGAAGCTGATGAATGTAAACAATAAAAACGAGTAGAACGAAGTGATCAAAACTAAAATCAAAGCATTTTATTTATTTAACAACTTATATATTTAAAAAAAAATTTCTTCTACATATGCATATCTTTTATAAAACCACATCCTTCCAACTTTTAAATACTCTTTTTGGCAAACAGCTAAACTGTAATACGACCGCTAACCAAACTAATATATCCTTTAACTATCAATTAAGAGTTGGAATTTCACTATTTCAAATATGTGTTTAACACTGAATAAGATTTGTAGTAAAACGATGCAAATTTAAAAGCGCTAAAACACTCAACTTCAATTGAAACTTAGAAACATGTCACCGAGGTAACCAACATCCTGAAAAGCAAAAGCAGGCGTCTGAGCTGGCTGCTAAGCCCAAATAACAAACTCTCGCTCCGGAATAAAGTCCTAATATATAATGTAATATTTGCCCCTGCATGGCGATATGGACCCCAGGTATACGGAATTGCCGCGGAGACGCACCTTAACAAACTTCGCATCATGCAGGCCAAGATCTTCAAATAATCTGTGGAGCCGTATGGTATATTTAAACACGAGACATTACAAAGGACCTTTAGGTTACTATGGTAGGAGACCTTATCAACCAACAAGAGTCACGTCACTAATTTAAGCTCCGCAACCACCCTAACGTCTTGGCAAGGAACCTGCTAAAGAGGCGAAGAAGGAGGCTTAAAAAGAGTTACCCATTGTAAATATATAAATTAAGCTAGCATAAACCAAACTCACGCTGATAAAAGTTGCCAAAAGTAAAAAGTAATAAGTAACAATTAGCAAAAATAAAAATTAAAAAAAATAAAAAAAAATCAATTGAAACTACATTTCAAACATTATTGGTTTATTTCAAATATTCTTTAATTCTTTTTTAAACATATTTTGAGCTATTTCAACTATTTTTCGAGCATAATATATACATACTAAAAAATTGGGTCATGTTCTAAATTAATCAGCTCTTCCATAATTTTCTAAATATTTTTATAAAATACTACACAAAAGTTACATTCCATGAAATTCCCAGTCCCAATCTCGGTTAGGTTAAATATGCTATTTTACTATATCCTATGCTAAAATATGATGGGAACTATTTTTAATAAATACATTTTTAAGAATGTGGTCATATGTATTTAATCTGCTCTTCCATACTTTTCTAAATATTGCAATAAATCACTAGAGAAATAAATCACCCAAAATAAGTCGTCTCAGTCCCATTTGAATTTTACTTTAGTTAATCCCAAGGGATTTAAGTTTCCCACAACGTTTTGTTCAAATGTGCAACATAATGCCTGCACTGGAAACAAGTCATTTTGCATTACACATAAACGGCTTATCCAATTTTCAAATGAGGTAAACACTGCCTGGCATTCATAATTGCATATTCAAAGTGTCTTGCGTCCACTAGAAGGGAGATAAGAGGCAGGCAACATGTTTATTACATTTGCCACACTATGTTTTTATCATTACGCTTTTCATGCCACAACAACAACGACAACAACGGCAACAACGACAACAACAACAGCAACAACAACGACAAGTTGCTGACGGCACTCGCGTCCATTTCCTAGCGTTTATTTTGCGGCCTGGCATTACTTTTTATTAGCAGCGCCGGTTTGTGGTTTTCAGTTGTTATACCCTGTACTATATACTTAGTGGGTATATACAAATTTGCAATTTTCAAACAAACATCGAATGTGGCGAATTCTTTAATATTATACCAGCTGCATATTTAGAGAAATAAAAAGTTTTAAAATTGTTCCCAATAATGGATAGAAGTTAAATGCAAAATTACGCCAAATATGTTTGTATGTATTCCAACACAAATCGTACACGAATACACTTAACCAAAGGGTATATTAAAGCTAAAACATTTCATACCCGATTTTACAGAGTATTCGTTTGTCTCACATTTTAATTGGAATCCCCCCCAAACTTTTGGCCAACTTCGGCTCGACTGTGTTGGCGGGTTGTGTATGAAGATTAGGTTTCAATTTGCATTTCGGCTTCATTGAAGCCATGCTGCAATTTCAGTCAGCTAAGTGGGGCATAGATTTATCACGTTTTCCTTAGTCGGTTTGTAGGACATGTGCTCCTAACCGATATTTGAGACAAAACCACATGCAAAACGTGTTGTGAAACGAAATGAAAACTGTTCAAAGATCTGAGACTTTAGCTGAGGCTGCGGCTGCGCCTGTGTGCCTTTGCCTATGCCTGACTCTCGACTTTGGCACTGTTTTATTACCATATTGAGGCTAACTCTTTTGGTGGTTTGTTGATTTCTGGTAGCGTTTGTTTATGTAACTGTAACTCTAACTGTAGCATTTGCAGTTTATGGATTATGCAATAAATAATCAACATACAATAGCCAGAGCTGCTGCTGCTGCTGCTGCTGACGTTGTGTTGTAATCTCTCCTCAATAGAATGGCCAGCCATAAAATATGGCTAATGGGTTTTTCAGTAAACTCTGGGCGGGCTCAAATGAAAGTGGAAATCTATAATATGTCTAAAACTGTGGCAGCCAGCTGGTTTTTAAACACAGTTTGGGTTGATTAATTGTCCAGAAATTAGTCGCATTTATTTTTACATGCTAATGTTTTATTAAAATGTAAAGAAAACAAGTAAAAGGTTCTAGTAGGGGATACCCTGAACCCTCTTCTTCCAACATCAAATGCATATATATTCTATTTTAGAAGCTATATATCAAGTTTGGTGACTCTAGCTCTTATTATTTACCTAAATTGCCCAAAAAACAGGATATCGATATCGATTTTTATCGATTGCTTGGAAACAGAGTTTGTTATCGATTATCGGAAATAAGCTCGATCTGCGCGGGAGCTAGGAGCACCTACATCTAAAATTTGTCTCTACCTCTTATAGGTTCTAAGATACTTGCGTTCATACATACGGACAGACGGACGGACGGACGGACAGACAGACGGACATGGCTAGATCGACTCGGCTATTGATGCTGATCAAGAATATACCACTTTATGGTGTAGGAGATGCTATGCCTTCTGCCTGTTACATACATTTAGATTTCGCACAAATACAATATACCCTTAACCCTATTTTTAATGGGTTCAGGGTATAAAAATAAACCTGCTTATGAGGAAAACAAGGCATACTAAAGAAACGTCAAAACGTTCTCTGTGTCGAATCTTTGATTAATTAAGATTAGATTTATAGATCAAATTAATTTAAATTGAAGTAAAAAGGTTCATCAAAATATATATTTAAAGATCCTCTAGATTCTAGACTTTGCTGCCGACCTCAGCTTAGCAAGCTCTTATCCATTTGATAATCAAATATTACGACATGCCCAACATGCCCAAGCCCATGTTTTCCAGTTGCACTATGGACTTGCTCTGTTAGACAACTCGTTCAACATTTAACAAATATTTCCCAATAGCTTGCACTACACCTTGAAAGAACCTCAAATAATGCCAAAAGAAACCGCCAACCATGTTGGTTAGCCGAAAAGAGACTTATGCAACATGGCACCACTGTGGTTGTCATAATACTCAACGCCTTGTCTTACATTTTAATAGGCGTCCAATAAAAGACCAAAAGACAACAAGCGAAAACAAAATAAATCATTAAAAAAAAAACATTGCCCCAGCATGGTCAACTCAAATGGGTGTAGTCATTGACACCGCCATTTTCTCGGGTGGTTGTGGTGGTGGGGCCATCAGCCATTGCACCACGCGGCGTTTCGCTTTTGTGGCACAGAAATTTGCATTTGCATGCGCAGGAAAAATGAGCTTACTTTCAGTGGCTTAATGGGTCAGTTAGCCAGACAGCCAAGCGGGCCTGAGTATAGCCTGCATTTGATGTGATATGTGGTTTATTTTTTGTCGTAACAATTTCTATTTGTGGCTTATTTAAATGATGTCAGAGCCGACGCTAAGCCAGAGTCGCTTTTGGCAGCAGCCATGTGGAAAGTGAATGCGGGAAATATTCGTCGACATGCGAGTTTTTCTTACTTTCCTATCCCCCCCAACCCAGCCAATAAAATGTGTGTGCAAATGTGTGTCTGTGGCCGTTCCGACTACTGGATTGGTCATTATAAGCCAGTCAGTGGGCCAACTTGTGGCCTGTTGCCGGTTTACGGGTTGCGGATTGCGGGCTGCAACGTCTTGTCGATCCGAATATTGCGACGCGTAATCGACGCCAATTTGACGGAAAATATTTGAAACGTTGAGCCAGTGCGAATGTGTGTGCGTGTTTGTGTGTGTGTGTGTGTAAATTGTAATCGAAAATAGCAAAATTAATAACAAGCTTTTGTTTGCTTGAGTTTTAATTGCTGCATTTGCGTTATGTGGCACATTAGATAAGAGAAACATTTCGTGAAGTAATGCAACATGTAATCAATATGTCTAAATTGCGGGAATGAGGGGATAAAGGCATATGCGTATGGGATTCGTCGTTTAGTTTAGCTCTTCCGGATGCCATTTGAAGAAATTCAAGACATGAGATTCAATGAAAACGAGGGAATGCATTTGAATAAAGCAACTAAAAGAAGCTGCATGTGAAATGTTTTAAACACAAGAGACAAATAGCCATTAATACTGGACGGCCTAAGTAAGGATACGACTTTTGTGAGGCCCAAGCAAAGGCCATTAATAACATTTAAAATCACTATAAGTTGGCATATCTAATGAAATTGTTTTTAAATCACTTTGATAACAAATTTTAAACCCGATTAATCGCTTTGTTTACGGTTTATGGACATTTTTTAAAAGGCTGTACTTAAATAAAGGTATAAAGGTGAGGAGGGAATTTTAACTAACCGAGTTGAGTTGTAAGGTCATGAGAAAATAAGAAAATAAATAAAATGAAATTGGGTAAAAGGCATTTAAGAATAGCCTTAGAGTTACAAAACAATTATGAACATTTTTTCGACTAATATACTTTAAAATAATAGACTGTTCTCCATTATACAAAATATAAAAAGGCTCAACTCACTTAATATAGGGTATATTTGCGGGTATGTGATATTTTGCGCCCACATCAAAGT